CCTCTACGTGCAAGAAGCAAAGGCCATGGCAGAAATCGGCGAGTTCGTCATCAAGACCGTCAACCCGAAGTATCGACGGACCTGCTGCAAAGCAGATGACTCGATCTCCCAGTGGTACATCAACCTGAAGAAAGAGGTGGGAGCCACAACCGAATGGGGATACAACAAAGCCAGCAACGATTACCACGAAGCCCTCAAGCCATTAGCGAAAATCAAGGACTATGAGACCTTCATCGACAAATGGGAAACGGCATTTTCCGTCGCCAACGACAAGGGAGTCGCCGAGACGCTCAACTACCTCTCGTGGTCGCGGGATTTTTTCCGATCCATCAAGAACGTTCCAGAGGCTGTCGCGTGGGGAATATCATACCGTCAAACCAAAGGGCAAGACTTCCAAGAAGGGAAGCTCACGTATCGTGACTTTGCGGTGGACTTTCGCAACGAGATGGGCCTGGTCGCGCCCACAACAATGCACAAAAAGATTGGGAGAGGTGCATTTGGACCTACCTACGCGGATCAGGAGGCCAACGACCAAAACGCAGAAGGCGCATCCAGAGGGCGGGGAGGACGCACCCGTTCAGGCAAGAAACGCACGCGAGACAACCGATCGTTTTCGTCGAAGTGCATGCTCTGTGACGTCCCGGGACACAAGATCGAGGAGTGTTTCTTTCTGTCCCAACAAGCCCCAACCTGGTTTAAGCCAACGGATGAGAAAAGAGAGGAGATTGAAGCTCGCATTGAAGAAGATGTGAACATCAAGAGGATTGTTCAAGGCATGAGGGGCAAGCGCCCTAGGACAGGAACCAGATCGGGAAGTAGCCGATCAGCGTCCGAAAGTCTCACCAAACAAGAAGGGACACCGGTTATCGAGGATTGACTCGCCGGCCGGAGAGTGGGATCCATTGAGGAGGCATCGTTCATAGCCATCAAGGCATCGTTCTCAACCAGATCCACATATCCCTTGCTCCTATCGGCAATTCTGGACTCAGGGACTACCATCCACATCTTCAACCAAGAGGAGAGGTTCTTCAATAAAAGACCAGCGCTTCCTGACGACTATATCGTGGCAGGAGACTCCCGATTAGCCGTCAGGGGATACGGAGACGTAACCATCCAGTTGGGGACCACGCGGAAGGTCATGAGACTTCGAGACGTGGCATTCATCCCTAGCATTCAGTGCAACTTGGTCTCCTTGCGTCTCATCAGACGGCAGGGATTTTACTGGGACAACCGAAATGACCCAACCCTCCTCAGGAGAAGAGTAGACAACTCTGTGGTGTGTCGACTCCGGGACCTACACGGGCAGTACGTCATCGAATACAACGACGCCATTTCCAACCATGCATCTTTTGCAACCCGATCAGCACGCTGGACGAACTGGAAACGACCATCAGTCACAGCAGAAGCCCAGAAATGGCACCTCCGATACGGGCATCCAGGACCAGAGGCCTTAGCCCGACTGCAGCGGACAGCTCAGGGGGTGAAGATCAGAGGGCCAACCACAGTCCAGTGCGAGGCATGCGCCAAGAGCAAGATCAAGCGACAGATCAGTCGTCGTCCACGCCAATTTACCCAAGGGGTAGGCGAGAGACTAGCCGTCGATTTCCACGAATACACCCAAGGATACGAAGGATTCAAGCACCTGATGCTGGTCACCGATCGCTGGTCTGGACTGGTCTGGGATTTCTACCTCACCGATCGGAAGGGGAAGACACTTGTGGAAGCCTTTGACGGACTCTGGATCTACCTGGACACGCAGTACAGGATTCGCCCCGCGGTCATCGAGACCGACAACGAAGTCATGAAACATGACGGGATCATTTCATGGGCAGCCGAGAAAGGTATCCGTTTCGAGCCCTCAGCACCGTACACTCAAGCACAGAACGGCGGCGCAGAGCGCTCAGGGGGTGTGATCAAAGAAAAGGCGAGAGCGATCCGAGAGTCAGCAAAATTTCCAGAGTTCCTTTGGCCAGAAATCGTCAAAGCAGCAGTCTATCTTC